AAAGTTATTGACTGCCATATGTGATATAACCATCAGTGGAACTCCTCCTCAGAGACCTCTGCCCCAGAGCCTCAGATATTGAGTATCTGAGTCACTTTGAACAACTAAAAGAAAGCATCATATGCTGGGTAATTTAAAAAATAAATAATTATTTCTTCCAGCTATGAGGCTTAGGAAAGTTCAAACTGGAGGCACCAGGAGATCTAATGATTAATGATAGCCTACCTCCCTGTTCATAGATGGGTATCTTCTCCCATCTCATACAGCAGAGAAAGAAAAACGGTGTTCTCTGTGTGTCCGGTTGCCAGCTTAACAGAATTGATAATGATCGAGAGGACGAACCTGAGGGCGCATCTGTGAGGGAGATTCTAGGTTGGGTTAAAGGAGGAGGGAACGTCCACATTATATATGTGTGGAAGCAGAGGGTCCTTGACTCAGTGAAAGGGAGAACATGAGCTGAGAGCCTATTCACAGCTCTCTACTTGCTGACTAGGGATGCAAGGATCAGCTACCTCATGCTCCTGGTGTCATGCACTCTTCACAGTGATGGAGTGTATCTTCAAACCATGAGGCAAAGCACGCCCTCCCATTATTAAGTTGCTTTTTATCAGAATAGTGAGAAAAGTGACGAACATACCATGGCTCCTAAGGAGACTAGAGCCAACACGAGTACCTAACTCTCATGACTTATTTACCTCTCAGAAGCACCACCCAAACACTATCAGTTTGGGGATTCAGGTTTCAGCTTATGCATTTGGAAGGGGCCTCAAACACTTAACCTATGACTTTAATTTATGGAGCATTAATAAATGCAATGTGTGTCTTAGTTACTGTTCTATTGCTGTGAAAAAATACCATGACCAAAGCAAATCTTACAAATGAAAGTGCTTAATGGGGTACTTGCTTATAGTTTCATAGGGCTAGTCCATGATCATCACAGCAGGAAGCATGGCTCCAGAGCAGTAGCTGAGAACCTTGCATCCTGATCTGTGGGCAGCAGGTGGAGAGAGAGAGAGAGAGAGAGAGAGAGAGAGAGAGAGAGAGAGAGAGAGAGAGAGACTGGATGTGGTATGGGCTTTAGAAACTTCAAAGCACTACGAACCAATAGCTGAGGAGACCCCATGGAACTGAATCAGGCCCTCTGGATAAGTGAGTTATCCAGATAAGTGAGTTATCCTCTGGTTAAGTAAGTTGATTAGCTTGAACTATTTACGAGGCTCCCAGGCTGTGGGACAGGGACCTGTCCTTAGTGCATGAGCTGGCTTTTTGGAATCTAGGGCCTATGCTGAGACATTTTGCTCAGCCTTGGTGTAAGGAGGAGGGGACTGGACCTGCCTCAACTGAATCTATCAGGCTGAGCTGAATCCCCAGGGGAGACCTTGCCTTGGAGGAGGTGGGAATTGGGGGTGGGTTGGGGGGAAAGGCTGGGGGTGGGAGGAGGGAGGACAGGGGAATCCGTGGCTGATATGTAAAATTAAATTAATTATAAAATAATAATAATAAAGAAATTTCAAAGCTCAGCCCCAGTAACACAGCTCCTCCCACAAGATTGCAGCTCCTTCCCAAAGAGTTCCAATAACTGAGAACTGAACCAAACATTCAAACATCAGAGCCTATGGAGCTCATTCTCATTCAAACCATGACAGTATGCAAATATGTTGATGATATTGTGATTCAATAAACCATCACAGTGTGCAAATACGTTAATATTATTATGCAATAAACTGCTCATCTAAAAAGATTCTGTTGTGTGTCTCTATGAAGTTACAAAAGCCAAAGAAGGAGGTATTAGACACCTTGCACACTAATTTCACTTCTGCTACAAATTATGTGACACCTAGAATCATGTGTTGACATCACTATATTAAGATGAAAAAGCTTCAGGTTACTATTTAATCTCTAAGATCCTCCCACTTCCATTACTCTAAAAATCACAAAACTTCCTTTAAAAGAAATAATATACCCCCACAACTTATCTGTGTCATGGTCAGATTTTTATTCAAAATATCAATAAAGGAGATTTACTTACTTTCATATTCAGTCTGTATAGTTAATCAGTTCCTATTATTCAAAGTTTTTACACGTACAATCAGTCTTAATGTGTTCTCATATAATCATGGACTCACACTTAAATGACACAACATTAAAAGTATAAAAAGCTCACCACTAGATTACAAGACATTTTGTTTTAACACACTTTGGATAACAATGACACAATACTTACTCAGCAGTCAGCCGAATACTACATAATGTCAAGTTTTCTTCTTTTTCAAGATTGGAACACTGGTGACTTTACTGTTTTCTGAGCGTTAAGGCCACATGACATATAACGCTTTGCTCTTGATGAGCAGCTAGGGTGTGGCCTTTGAGAGGGGACTAGAGCTAAGGATGGAATATATTTATTTGGCTTCAGAGTGCCAGGCTGTGATATATTTACTTTCTTTTTATCAAGAATGTATGACTTTTTGAGTAAGGGAATAAAAGGCTTACAAAGTTATAATTAACTCCCTCTGAATTCTATTTGGCACAAAAGAAAAATAAACTAAAGCCTGTCCCTAATCCACTTTGATATAAAACTATAACTAACCAACCCAAAATATTTCATTAGTCAAGCAGTTAGTTATTGCTATTCCTTACCTATTATTTGCACTGATTGTCTTTTAGAAAAATGTCCTATTTCTATGGCCTGGTGGTTCATTTTAGGTATCAATTTTAGGTGTACTAATGAATATCCAAGGAACTGCCAATGTATTGTTTTCAAGTATGTCTAAGAGGAAATTTTATGTGACTCTAAGTGGACTTAGAGATGATCTACTCTCAATGTACAGGTCACTCAATATGCTGTGGTTAAAGGTGGAGTGTCAGCACAGAGGAAAGGGTGAAAATCAGTCTCTATCTTTCTTAAAAAGCTTAGATACATCCTTTTCTTATAATTGGTTATCATAACTACAACCTCTTCACTCAGAACTTACGTTAACATCAGTGGCCTCCACAGTTTTCATACCATTGAACTTGGTCTGATCAAAGCCATGCTCAAACATCCCAGTCTCTATATTTCAGACAGTATGTCAAGACTTTTCTTAGAATCTGTAAAAAACCAATTCCCTTAATAAATTATCTATCTACCTACCTACTTATCATCTATCTATCTATCTATCTATCTATCTATCTATCTATCTATCTATCTATCTATCTATCTATCTTCTATTTATCTGTCCTTATATCTGCATACACACACACACACACACACACACACACACACACACACACACACACTTTTGGCTCTGTTTCTCTAGAGAACCCTTATTAATACATATAATATTATGTAGACATAGCTTAAAATAAGCTAAGCCCTAAGCTGAAAATCAAGTAGAACCTTCTTTGGATTATAGTAATGCAAATGTCCATCCTGTTTATTTAGTCTTCAAACATTTCTAAAACATAAAAAAATATTTGAAAAATGTCCTGTGTAAATCTAAAACTTTTTCAATTAATTACTGCAAAGTTCACTGTTTCCCCAAGGCATATTGGACTTCAGTACACACATTTAGCTACATAAGAACATGAAAGAAAATTGTACTATTTGAGAATGAGAACTAGACCCTTTTTTAATTTGGCAATGCCCAATACAGGAATAGTCTTTTGGGTGCAGAAAGACGTGGATAAAAGAGTGAGATAAATGCTGGAGTAGAAAAGAATATTAGAAGAAAATGTGATTGCCAGGTCCATTTGACATTTGAACTCAAAGCACCACTCCAGTGAGAATTCTGGTGTTGATTTTGTATATTAGAGAGTGAGGGGTTATATTATTGTAGCAATTTTCAAAAGTTGTGTCTGTTAAGATTTTTACTTTGGAGAAAAGTAAGAGAAATAAGTACCCAGGCATTGGTAACTCTAAAGCATTTAGTATACTTAGCTATTACTCAAAAGAAAAAAAAAATAGAAATCTGCTACCCATTTCCATTCTCAAAATTGCAAAACATTAAAACATTAATTGTTCAAGACAATTATAAATTTGTAATTTCAGTGAAAAAAATGAACTAATATTGTGTTTGTATTCTGACAAATAAAGCTTACCTGGAGATCAGAGGGCAGAGCGAGTCACTAGTTAACCATAGAGGCCAGGCAGTGGTGGCACACACCTTTAATTCCAGCATTCGGGAAGAGGAAGCAGGAAGATCAAGAGTTCAAGGCCACCCTGGGCTACACAGGATTGAACTGGTCTAAAATAAAAACAGAGCCGGGAGGTGGTGGTGCACGCTTTTATTCCCAGAACAATCTCAAGGTGGAGACAGGAAGATAAGGTGGGTGGAGACAAGTCAGAGGATCAGAGAGGTAAGCAGTCACTGGTGGCTGCTCCTTTGCTTCTCTGATCTTTCAGGTTATTACCCTGGGTTTATTGATAAGACTAAATAGATTCAAGCTTCAGATTGCTGTTTTACAGAATTTGCCTGAAAAAAGAAGACATAAAATGTGCCCCAAATATATGGGACTCTAGAGAGATGAATTTGGAAAGTAACCCAAAGAAGAAGATACTATATATACACAAATACAAAGCTTGTCCAGTAAAGCAGTACAGCTAGGATTCCTGCACTAGACAGCCAAGTGTTTGCAGGACACATCTTCACCATGCACGGATTAGCCATGCCAAGTACCTACTAGTTTACCTTTATGAGTTCATTATACTTTATCTTTGTATAACACTTAAAACACCAAAGACCATGGACCAAGTATTCAATTGATCAAGCCTATGTCACTTTTCTGTACAAGAAAGCAATTGTATGAGTTGTCTGAGGCCACTTTTTATAAACAATTAACACAAGTTTGATGAATTAACATAACAGAAATATATTTTTCCATACTTCTAGAGATAAGACATCCAAAATTGAGTTGTCAGTTTTGTGGCAATTCCTCCCAAAAGCTCTACAAGAGATTCTGATTGTTGCTTCTTCTAGTCCCTGGTGGTTGTTAGAATTTCTTGGCTTAAAGCAGCATCACTTGTATCTTCAAGTTGTTTCCTATTCTGTGCATTTCACAAACTTAATCTCAAATCAAGATTCTTAGTTTCATCCACAATTTTTTCCGAATAAGTTAACAATTTTTAAAGTTTTATGAGATTAAGACATGATATTTTTGGTTCGTCTTATTCAATATGGATCAGGAAGACAAAAGATCTAACCTTCTGTTTCCTCAGTGAATGTCACAGTAGAAACAGTGCAAGATGACCTATGAAAAATAAGTTGGAGAGTCAGATCAATACATGGCCCATAGCATGGCAAATATTTATTAACATCTACTTCTTTCCCTCACATAATGGACATACAGTTTTCTTTTCATGAACATACTTCCATTCAAAGTTTAACACATTTATGCAAATTATGGTATTTGATTATTCATCTTTTAGTTGCAATAACAGACAGCTGACTTAAGTACTTTAAACAATGCACACTACACTTACTAACCATATGCCAAAAACCCTGAACAATAAAATCCTTCAAACAGTGTGAGCCCCACATCCAATTTTGTTTTACTGAATTCTTCCCAGCCCTCTCATTCTCTTTATGCTAGATTCATTGTCAGGCTGACTTTCCTCATATAGTAAAGATGTAAAACATTTCTAACTACATGCCTAATACATGCTATTTCTAAAATGAGTAGGGTGTAGAATTAAGGATAATCCTGAAAGGAGAAAAAATCTTTTTCTTGGAAATTCCACAAATAATTTGAGGTTTAACATAAATGGATCATGCTTAAGCAACAAGCTTATCATGGATAAGAAATGTTCCTTATTGACTTAATTTATGTCTTACACTTTACATACAGAGATGGCTTTAAAACCATCTTGTCTTAGTTAGGGTTTTTATTGCTGTGAAGAGACACCATGACCATGGCAACTCTTAAAAAGGAAAACACTTGATTGGCGGCATACAGTTGACATTCAAGCAGTCATGGTACTGGAGAAGGAGCTGAGAGTCCTACATCTTGATCATCTTGACCCACAGACAACAGGAAGCAGTCTGAACAGTGGGCGGGACTTGAGCATATAGAGACCTCAAGCACTCCACCACAGTGACACACTTCCTCCAAAAACATCATCCCTTTTGCAACAAAGCCACACCTCCTAATAGTACCACTCCCTGTGTGTTTATGGGAGTCAATTACATTCAAACTACTACATTCTGCTTCCTGGTCTCCAGAAACTTGTAACCATATTACACTGCAAAATGCATTTAGTCCAATTTCCAAAGTTCTCATAGTCTATCACCGTCTTAACAATGTTTTAAATTCCAAAGTTAAAAGTCTCTTCTGAGATTCATGCAATCTCTTAACTGTAATCCCTATAAAATCAAAATAAAGAAACGGATCACATACGTCAACATATAATGGCACAGGATATACATTATCATTCCCAAATGTAGGGAAGGGAGCATAGTGAAGAAATACTGGACCAAAGAAAGACTGAAAAGCAAACAGACAAACTCCAAACTGTGCATCTCCATTTCTGATGTCAAAATGCTCCTTAAATCTCCAACTCCTTTCAGTTTTCTTGACTGCATCACACTTCATTCTCTTGGGCTGTTTCCAATCCCTATTAGCAGTTTTCCTCAGTAGATATCCCACAGCTCTAGCATCTCCAACATTTTAGGGTTGCCAAGGCAATCCAGGCTTCACTTTCACAGTGTCACACAATGGTCTCTCTAGGCCTCCACTCAGGAACACCCATAACTGTTACAGAATATTATTTTAAGGTATATTACTTTTGTTGCATTTGTTTAACTCTGTGAAGTTTTGTTACTGTGCCTGTCTAAAATATCTGATGGTCTAATAAAGAATTGAATGACCAATAGCAAAGCAGGAGAAAGGATAGGCAGAGATGGCAGGCAGAGAGAAGATATAGAAGGAGAAATCTGCCAGGAAAAAAAGATTTAGGAGCCAGAGAAGGAGGAAGATATCAGGGGATAGGCACCTAGCTAAACAGCAAGCCACAGAGTAAGAAATAATGAAATGTATACAGAAATAGAGAAAGGTAAAAGTCCAAAGGCAAAAGCTAGACAGAATAATTAAAGTTAAGTAACGCTGGCTAGAAACAAGCCAAGCTAAAGCCAGGCATTTATGATTAAATATAAATATCCATGTGTGATTTATTCAGGAGCTGAATGACAGGTCTCCAAAAGAGCAAAAACAAACAACACCTGGCAGATGCCTGGTCTTATCAGCTTTCCTTAGTTGTCAAGGAATATTCCATAATATCTTCCTTCTATCCTTAAAACCAGACCCACAGGCTGAAGCTGCCAAGTTCTCCTGCTTGCTGGGGCTGGAACATGGCCCCATTATTCAATTGTGTCTTCACCAGCTTTCTGTTTTTCCATGATTTCCTTGGCTGCCTAAGCCTGGCTGTCCTGAAACTGCATCTGTAGATCAGGCTGACCTCAAATTCAGGGATCTGTCTGCCTCTATCTCTGGAATGCACCACCACACCCAGCTTTAAGCTTTTCTTTAGTTCTTTTTCATAAATTGAAAACTTGGCAGGATCTTACCCTGAGGTCACCACTTCCTTGATTCCATTTACTAATCTGTTTATCTCTTTGAACACAGGCCTTAGCTCCATTCCACTCTCTTGTTCTCCTGAATCATTTGGACTCTGAAACAGAAATTAGGTGATGCTTCTTGGAAGAGAATGTGGGGGGAGGGGGAGGGAGAATACAGAGTAAAGACCAGAGAACAACAAAAGTCAAATACAGAATTAAATAATTGCTATAATTTATGAAGTACAGGTTTTTAATTAGCTCAGTTATTTAGCTTATATAAGAAGAATAAAAGGAAATAACATTTTGATTTAATACTAGTTTTAATTCTAGAAATATATAATGTGTTGAGTGCAAAATCAAAATTCTCATATATTAAAGATAAATACTCACTGATAAATTGGCTTCCTATACTTGAATGTCTTTAAGTTAGAATTATTTACATCAAGGTAGCTGCAATTTTATATTGCCCTGTTTTCTTGGATACTACTAAAGAATTGAGGGGGAAATTCATAGAACTATATATCAAAACTATGAAGGATAAATTTGGCAAATGATGGAATTCATTTGCCATCTGAAGAAATTTTATAATAAATAAAGAGCAAATTAAGTAGAATTAAGCAGAAAATAATTGATAACAAAGTATAATTTAGTTCGGTTATCAAAATCCACCACCCATAGTCAACTAAAAAATTCCATGTAATTTCTAGAAGTGGACTAGAAATTTCTAAAAGTTACCTAAAAGTGACATTCTAGAAAGCCTCAAAAAATCCCTCCCCACCCTCCTCCCTACAGCTTGGGTCATGTGCCATCTCGTTATGCATAAATCCATAGCTACCAATTCATCATAAGATTGACTATTGTTCTATCACAACAGTATGTTCAAGGAACCTTTATTTTACTCAAATTGCATGTGCAGAACTGTATGACTGGTGATGCTGGTCATTCAGATACATGACAGAGAAGTAATCAAATGCTTCATTCAAGTGAAAGGAAACAAGTTCTTGACCTACAAAAGTAAAAAATAACTCTATGCTAATGTTACTAATGTCTGTGATCTGAACAAACAGAAAAACAAAATACATATAAAAGGCTCAATACTATTATTTCAGGCATCCACTGGAGATATTGGAACATGAAACACATCTATGAATAGGAGGAAATAATTGCAATTAAGAAGATGGTTAAAATTAATACCCCCTTTGTCCCCTCAAATGGAGCATAAAAAGAACAGCATCAAAAAAATGGTAGAAGTCAGGCTCACTTAGAAAGAAGGTTCCATTGTTAAGAGCCTTGGCTGCTCTTTCAAAAACAAAAGTTGAGTTCCCAGCATACACATGGTGGCTTACAATCATCCCTAACTCATCTAGGGAATCTGATGTCCTCTTATGACTTCTGCAAACAAAAAACATGCATTTTCTGTGTGTATATACATGCAGGCAAAACACCCATATGCATGAAAGAAACAAATCTAAAACACAACAGTCGAGTGACATCATAATAATCTACAGTACAAAGCTAAAAATAACACTACACCAATAATTTGCCAAGTTTTATGAAAATGAACTAACTTTTTTATATATAACAAACAAGCAAAGTTCACTTTAACATAAGATTAATAGTTCCACACCTACTGTAACTGTGTGGATCAGAAATGTTCCCCAAACATGTTCATATAGAAGGGCTTGTTCTCCTGTACAAAATGTTGAGGTGAGACTGGTAGAAAGAAAGTAGATCTGGAGCACTTGATGTCATCAGTAAATTAGTATCCGGATAGGCTCATAATGACATGTACTATTGGAAGGTGTAGATTCATTAGGACACAGGTCCTAATGGAAGAAAGCAGCTCACCGAATGTGAGCCCTTGAAGGGTATGTCTGATCTCTAAAACCTCTCCTCTTTCCCTTTTGCCCTCTTCTTTTTCATTTCCCCCTTTCCTCTCCACCTCCTCCCTTATCTCCCGTCTCCTCCCCTCTTCACCTCACTTCTCCCTTTTCATCTCTTCTCTTCTACCCCCTGCTCCTCTCCTCTCTCTTCTCTTCCTGCTTACAACAAGATGACCAGCTTTACTCCAGCATGCACACTGCGCCATAATCTTCTGCCTCAATACAAGCCCACAGGCATGAGGCTAAGTTAGTAACAGAAATCTGTGAAACCTTGAAACAAAATAAATATTTAAAAGAAATATATTTTTCTCAGGCATTTTGTCAAAGTGATGGAAATCTATGATGAGGGAAATCTGCTATCAAAAGTGGTTCATTGCTAGGACCATACCTGTCTGTGTGGCTCAGAAGGCTTTAAAATTGACTTGTTCAAAGACTCAAAAAAATTGGATAACTGAACCAGAAATAGCTTGGAATGCTTTAAACAGAGTTTAATAGATGGTTCTTGGTAAGAGTTTTGAAGACTAAAATTCTGATAGGAGTGCACTTGGCAAAAACAAACAAACGAATGAATGAATGAATAAATAAATAAATAAATAAACAAACAAAATGTATTCACTAGGTCCCGGGCAGAAAGGAAGGGTGTATCAGGAATTATACAAAATGGAACACATTTTATTTCTATCTTTTGTCTGTTCCAAAGACCTTGGGAGAGGCTAAGTTTAAAAAAAATAAATAAATAAACTAAATGGAAGATGTTTCAAAGCAGTACAGATGCCACACAGAATCTTCTCGCTGAGGAAAGGGAGTAAGAAGAAGAGCAGAAAGATTAAAAACAAGAAAACTGAAGTTTTCCCAGAGAAGTGCTTGTAAAGTTCCAAGCCAAGGACAGTATGATTGCTGAATATATTAGCTCCCTGAAAAAGAAACCAAGGATTTGCACCAGGATAATAGGAAAGGTGTCTTGAGGAAATCTCAGGATGTGGCCAATAATCATCTAGGACACATTCAAGGGCATACAGGTTTAAACTCATTTGCTAGACTTTGCTTTGAGAAGAGAGCAAAATGACATCCTATTTATACAGGGCCACACTGCAAAGTATTTCACTGGTTTAGCTACCGTTGTACCCATAGGCTATTACAGTCACAAAGTGGTGTAGGGGGCAGGCAGCTTCTGTTCCCAGTGGTAGAAGACCTTGGAATTGTTCACATGATCCCAGTTTTATGGGCATTTAGAACTTCAAAGTTATGAATCATAAAGGCTTCTACCAAGACTTAAAAAGAAAGTCTAATAGCCTAGGCAATGGGTAGGGGTGCCAGATTTCCTAAGAGATGGAATGCATTCAGCGATGTGAATGAAGCTGAACTCTCAAAGGCAACCTACGGGAATTAGAGATGCCAGGGATATGGAATTTCTGCCAAGTAAAGCTTTAGAAAACTAGTTGACCCAAAATGAGAGAGTAACCATGTGTGTGTTTCAGTCTATGATGAGAAGTCACTTCAAAAGTCATAGAGCTTACAGAGAGATAGCATGTGCCCAGATGCTGAATATAGAGCTGCAGAATTTAACGATTGCCCTGCTGGATGTTGAGTTATTCTTCATTTTGTTGGGGAAGTTTCAATTTTTGTGTTAGGAGTATATAACTTATATTTTGATTTTCTTCCAATAGGCACTCACCAGCTGAGAGTTTACCTTTGGTATCAAAGGAAACTTTGGACATGGAATTTTGAGAAATTCTAGGATTATTGAGACTTTGAGAATCCTTAGAAATAGAATAAAGGCATACATAAAATTTATTTTTATATTTGGATTAACACACAGGGTATAGGTATAATTAAGGTATTCTGCATTATGAGAAGGATATGTCTTTGTGGAACCAATGGCAGAGTATCATGATTAGGATGTTAGATGTCACTGTCTTAGTTAGGATTTCTATTGCTGTGAAGAAACACCATGACCTCAACAACTCTTAAAAAGGAAAACATTTAATTGGGTGGCTTACACTTCATAGGTTCAGTCCTTCCTTCATCATCATGGTAGGTCATGGCAGCATGCAGGCAGACATGGTACTGGAGAAGGAGTTGAGTTCTACACCCTGATAGGCAGGCAACAAGAATTGAAAGGAGATACTGGGCATCACTCAAGCACATATGAGAATTCAAAGTCTGCCTCTATAGTGACACACTTCCTCCAACAATGCCATACCTACTCCAACAAAGTCAGACCTCCTAATAGTGATATACCCTGTGAGTTTATGGGGGGCCAATTATATTCAAACTACCACATCATGTAAAAACAACCAAAATCTATATAGTCATAGGTTGTAGCAATTGTTGAATTAGTCTTTTAACTTGATAAAAGACAATATGTTAAGAAATAAGTTTCCTCTAGATTGATCCTATAGATCAACATAATCCTAATAAAAACCTTAGAAGCTTTTTCAATAAATAATAAGAAAATGGTAATAAAATAAATATGACATTGAAAGGGTTTATTGACAATATTTCTCCACACAGTATGTGGAAGATACCATTGTTTCATATCTTTCCTAATAATCACTATGTTATTCATCACTATGTACTATTTTATAGTTACACAGAAATTTGTGAAGTGTCATTTTATCCAAGACAATATTGAAATGCAAACTAAGCTAAAATTGTACTTCAATGCTTATTATTAAACCAGACATACAAACAAATATACCAACAAAAATCAATAATATTTAAACTTAGGATATAAGGGAAAGATTGTGGCATAGATTAATCTAAGAACTCATATATAAAGTCAAAAATCATGATCCACCATAAGTCAAATTGATAAATTGTGCTTCATTAAATTTAAATGTACCTGATCTTTTGAGAAGTGCTTAAAAAGAGTAAAATGTCACGACTCACTGTCAGACTGTAAGTAAATATTTGAAATCTATATAAATGATAAATAATGTGTACCTTAAATATCAAAAAAATGTTTAAAAGTCAATAATAAAAAAAATGGCAAATACAGTGAGAAGACAGCCTGGAGAGGTAAGAGATAAATACTCAGCAGATAAGAGTGCTGACTGCTCTTCTTAAGGACCTGGTTTCAATATCCAATACCCACAAGGCAGTCCACAACCTGTTATTCCATTCCCAAGGAATCCGCTGCCCTCTGCTGGCCTCCATGGGCACTGCACATACATGGTGCACAAACATGCACATAAAAATAAAATACTCATAAAAAATTGAAAAAACATTTAAAACGAAATATAAAATGGCACTATGAAGTATCATAGAAGACAAAGATAATGCCCTTTATAATTAGGAATGAAGGGTTTTTTTGTTAAATGCTTGTCAAAAATAAATAAAATTTAAGATGTTAGCATAATGAGCATTAGGAAAGATATGGAACAACGGTAACGTCCATATAGTCTTTGCAGAAACTATTTTTAGAGCAATTTAGAAGTTTTGTTAAGAAATATATTTCATAAGATCTAGCCAGCCCTTGCTAAATTCTACCCACGAGAAACCAAAGAACAGACGCTTGGGAAGAATTCTGAAGTATTCTATTTCCAGTAACGTTAGCCGATTTTTTTAATTACACTTATTTATTTATTAATTAATTATATGGTTATTTCATTCATGCTGTAGGAGCGTATGGAGGTCAAGGGATAACTTTTAGGAATCAGTTCCTTCTTTCAGGCATGTAGGCCCCACACATCAAACACCGGTCACCAGACTTGGCAGCAAGCGCCTTTATCCTCGGAGCCGTCCCACTGGCCCCAGGCGTTTCTTTTCTTTCTTTCTTCTTTCTTTCTTTCTTTCTTTCTTTCTTTCTTTCTTTCTTTCTTTCTTTCTTTCTTTCTTTCTTTCTTTCTTTCTTTCTTTCTTTCTTTCTTTCTCTTTCTTTCTTTCTTTTCTTTTTTTTTTTTGATTTTACGAGACAGGGTTTCTCTATGTAGTTTTGCGCCTTTCCTGGAACTCACTTGGTAGCCCAGGCTGGCCTCGAACTCACAGAGATCCGCCCGGCTCTGCCTCCCGAGTGCTGGGATTAAAGGCGTGCGCCACCACCACCCGGCCCCAGCTATTTCACTTGCAATAGCTCAACATTGGAAGCAGCCCAAACGCTTTCCAACAGTTGAATGACTAACAAATATTACTGAATATTCACCGCAGTAAAAAAATCTCTCAGGTGTGAAAAGGAACAGTTGTTCGTCTAATAAAGGAAAATGGGTGATCCTCAAAATAATTCTGGTAACTTATAGTAGCCAAACAAAACCCAGTTCAGAAAACACACTTCCAGTTTGTGTGTAATTCTAAAAAGTTTGCATCAATACGTATGATAGAAGGCAGATAAGTGGTTGCCTGGTAGTTGGAGAGACAGAGTAAAAAAAGAAATATTCAAAAGAGGCACAAGAAAACTTTTGGTAGTGATGAATGTGTTGATTATCTTGACTAGAATGATGTTCTCATGGCATGCACATGGAAAACTTAATTTGTATATTTTAAGCAATGTGATTCATCACCTGTAAGTTATAGTTTAAAGATTTAGATAGTGGTGTTGGGAATTACATCATATTAGGTCTCAGAAGTAAAATAGGAAAATGGATTTGTCAGAAACAATGCTTTCAGTTGTAAGAAGGGAAAACAGAAGGTCTTTTCAGCAGACTCTAAGAAGGAAAATCATTTGACTTCTAATTATGAGCTAGTCAGAGAAACCTTTCACCACAGGAAAAAAGAAAATTAAGGAAAGGTAAGTTGGCAATGAGACAGCACTGGGGAAAAAAGATAATAATAGGGTTGAAGGCAGATGAATTGCTCAATATGTATAGAATAGGACATATTTGAATCCCTGAAATCTCAGACTCAATTTTCATACTGTATTATATAAAAACTTCTCTGGTGAGAAGTCATAAAAATCATATAAAATTGAAAAATAAACCCATGGAAATGAAAAGTGGCAAACTTATTTATTTGTTTATTGAATACTGACAATGTTCCAGAGAGATTGCCAATAATGATAAATGAGACATGATCTACTGTGAGTGGCGTTGATCAGGTAGTATTTCCTATTTCATACCTGATCACTTGGAAATGCAGTCCTCTAAACTATGAAGAGAAAATAATCTCAAATCAAATCTAATATTGTTCTGGTGATGGTTTTTATTATTATTATTATTATTATTATTATTATTATTATTATTCAGCATGTTTATGTGTAATGAGGGCACATATACCATGGCACATCTGTGGAGATCAGGGGTAAACCTTTTGGAGTTTATTTTTCCTTCAACCTTTATGTGGGTTCCGGGTGAGGCAGGAATTAGTTAAAAGAAAGTATCAAGGGGAAAAGGCCCATGGTGAAAACTGCAAGCTACCCACCAATGGTCCTGTGAGAATGACTATTAAGGTTAAATGGAATACAAGGTTAAACAGTGAAGCCACAGCTCTAAGAATAAGATACATTACAAACAACCAGACAAGATAAGTGAAAAATGGGATTTATGAAGCAAGGCCAATGATTGTGGACCAGCTAGCTAACTTCCATGAGACTTTTTCTCTTTGAAAAATACTTGCTAGGCAGTATTACTTATAACATATTCCTGCTTTTAATACCTTGTTTCTATTGTAACTGATTATAATAAAGTTAGTTGTAAGGGTGGCTTGTAATAATCCTTCCCCATTTCAGGAAAGAGAAACCAGAACATCTGGTTAGCTTTGAGTTAACCAAGGATGTTGCAGTTATTTAAGAACAAAGAGAGCTTATTATTCACAGAACTTGTGATACCTAGAAGGTCAGAGGTGGACATCAGCCAGTAATTAATGACCAGACATTAGTCAGGGTCATCCACTAACAAAATTAGAGAGCTTTATATAATCGACAGTAATCAAGATGCCTACAAGGTTGGAAGGTAGTAACACTGGTCAATTGACTAAAAGCTATCAGATAGCCAAGGCCAATAACTTGTCAGAGACAAAGATGAAAATAAAGGTCTTAGACCACCCCTAGCTGAGTGGGAAACACATGAATAATACATAATTGCCTCCCTGTTTGGACCAGGGTACAGGCACAGAGCATGTGGGCCCTCCACTGACTCTGCCCGTGATAGCCCAAAGAACTTACCTACCTTACTAGAGATCACTTCACTCTTTATCCAATTTCTTCTACTGCTCTATAAAACCCCCAAACAAAGGAAATTCAACATTTTTCTTCTCTTGGAAACTGTTCGTTTTAAGGGAATTCTTCTCCAACTCTTCCTTAAATTCTCACTCCTCTTAAGTTTCTCACTTTTCTGAAATAATAAGTCTTGTTTACCTTTGCATACCCCCATAGCAGTTCATATCATATAATCTTAGTTGGCATAAAATGGTAAACTTGGAGCCACTATCCCAACTTGATCTCTGTTGAGTTTAAGTATTCAGCACACAGACAGCTGAGTGGTGAAGACTCCCAACGCTTTCAGAAACCGTATAATGTAGGTCTCTGGCTTGTATGTCGTTAACCATTGAGCAATCCTGCCAGGCCCTCAAATAGTATCTTAACTCCAAGTATATTTCTAAAGAAAGTTAATGAAACCCAGGAAAGTAGCTAAATCTTCTATACATTTGCAAATTGAGGTGGGTTAGAGTCGTGGCTGTAAAGGAATACATAGAAGTCAGATTAGGCTTTAAAAACATGAAAAGATGAACAAGTTTACTGAATATATATGCAAAAAAAAGCAGCAGACAAGATACTGATAAGAACTGCCTGCCATATGATAGTAGACTGTAGCTGATTTTATATGAAAGCTGTCCTTTCAGTCTTCTGTTTTGAGGATGCAAGTACAGGAGGTTCTGGTTGGACAGCTTGACTATGCTTAAGGGTGGTGTTTACAGGATGGCAGCCCTGTGACTTTAGGCTATAATGTCTTTATTGGCCATGGTGAGTCACGCTATTCATACAGTGGCCCTCAGACTTGTTTTTACTTCTGGCCCCCAACCCTCAACAGAGGAGCAAGGACTAACTTAGGTGTTTAGTCAGATATCTTCTGGATTTTCTTCAGGTTGAATATTATCATGAAGACAATATCATCTACTGTTGCTGGTCTTTCAAGGGACCACAAGGAGCTCTCATGATGACTAG